GTGCATGCCTGAAGGAGCCACAGAATGGTGATGCCCCGTCGCCTAGGCCATGGAAAATTGGTTTGTGGCAGGCTAACCATGATGAATAGCTTCATGTTCTGCAGCATGCTGGACGCTGTTCATGGAAAGACTGTTAAGGACGATTTACCATGGAATATGTGCCTGAGTTGCAGGTTTGGACACACCACAACATTCGTGGGAGACAATCGGGTGGTCCTGTTTGGTGGTGCCACAGGGGATTCCGGCCGAAGCCCAAGCCATTAAGCCATTCGCAGCTTGCACCGAATGTTGGGGCTTGCAATGGCTTGCACCAAGGTCGATACACCATTACTGCAGATGCCTTCATGCTAAATGCCCAAAGCCAAGTGCCAGCACGCAAGCGCAGCTTTGCGCCGATCTACGCCATGTACTAGGTGGCCAGCAATACCTGGTCGCGTGTTCAAGCAGGAGGCCAGCAAAGGTGTTGAACAGCTGTGCTTGTGCATTTTCAGTTGGCAAGCATACATTCTGGCCTCCTCTTGCAGTGACAGGAACCTTGCCCTTTGCCCGGGCAGCTCATGCGGCGGCGTGTGTAGATCATTCACAAATGGTGACTGGGCGTTTTGAGACATGTGTCCTGCTGGCAGTGGGGGCCGGTGGTGGTGATGAGGTGATCTACGGTGGCGCCACAGGGGGAGGCAGCTTGTCGCAGCTCGGCCGGAGAGAACAGCGGTTCAATTCATGACACGACTTTGGCTGCCCAACGCAGATCCGACGAGCTGTACTTACTGGACATCCGCAACGAGGCTGGCGTCGTTTTCACGCTGTTACGCGGCATGTGTAATGTGAAAAATGTAAGGAGACTTCTCAGTGGATGTCAGTTCCCGTGATGGGAACAACTCCTGGGCGAAGATACGGCCCTCGCCCCAGCTGTGCTGATTCTGTCAGGGTTACAACCCCTGTCCAATCAAAGGCCACACCATGATCTTCAACAAGCCGCTGTTGATTGTCTTCGGGGGTAACAATGGCCAACAGGCCCAGCATGCTTTGTCTGCAAAGCAATCAGTATTAAGCGGATGATGTGGACTCTCTGCACAGGCGGAGTGTGACATCTGGATATTGGACGTGGAGCGCTCGCCATTCCAGTGGCAAGAGGCCTTTTGCAGAAGCCCAAAGATGCTACCGGCACAGACCGTTCGAACATATTCAGACCTGCATCCATCCACAACGCCAGTTCTTCGCGAGGTAACTGTTATGGGAAAGCGTGGGCCCCTTCCGCGTGTCTACCATTCAGCTGAGGCATGGAGCGTGTAGTGTTCAGCAAGATGCCTACGCAGCTGTTTCTCACAGGTGTGTCGTGATGGGCCGGCCGCTGGCATGATGGTCGTTTTTGGCGGCCGTACTGCTGAGAACAAGTCGCTGAAGGAGCATTTGCCATCCTCTGCCCAAAGGGCTGCGCCGTGATGAGACTGTGTTCGTAAGGACACCTGGGGCTTGCGACAGCATCGGGATGGACGTTGGGACTGGGTGGAGGCGGATTGCTGGCACTGTAGCAACCTGTGTCATGAAAAGATATCAGAGGCAGACTCAAGATCCAGCTGTTTGGCACTAGGCCCCCGCCAAACGCGGCGCTCCTCCAGAACCCAGGCCAGCATGGGGGTGGATCGGCAGCTGATACAGATGACACGAGTATTAGCAGTCGTATGCAGTCATGTTAGCAGCAGCCGTAGAGGAGCCGTAGCAGCTCTATAAATGGCAATCATCGCCATGGTACGTGGCAGAGATCATGTTGCATGATTGGATTCAAGTTGATGCTAAAGAAAGCCGCCTCGGCAATGCTTGGACCCCCGAAGGTTTCAGCATTCCTGCATATTCCTGGATTCCAAGCTGCTGATTGTCGGCGGGCGTGGGCCAGAGGTCAACAAGCTAAAGCCTCAGCATCAAAGGTAGGGCAGAAGCCCATTGGTAAGATGAAAGATGGCAGTTCCGTAGGCTTTTTCATGATGTCCGAGCAGTTTTACTGTTATCAAGCTTTTTCTCCTTGTTATTACTTACCCCAGCGTATCAATGATGGCAAATTCTACCCTTGCCCCATGCCCGCAAATCATTCCCAAGCTGATCAAGACTTCAGGATTCTGCCCACCGCGGTCTATGACACTGAGACTTGCGAGTGGCATAATCTATGCAGTCTCCAGAGATTTCGACACTCCTCTTGGGGTGCCCTCGCCACGTGTTGACTGAAGCACATGGCTCATGTACAGCATGCAAGCCGCAGTTTCTAAGTAGGACTTTCAAACTTTAATTGTCAGAATCTCCAGGAGGATTGTTGGTTGAATGCTGTTCCATGCTGCACTGTTCGAACCGTGCCTGGCAAACGGACAGTCGCCTTGCGAACTTGGTCCAGGACGCACGGAATCATCCTCATGAATCGAGCCTGCCAGATAAGTAAGAGACGTCGTGACATCCATGCGTCGTGATTGCTATGCTTGTTAGTTTTCCTAGTTGATGTGCTGCACGCTGACATTGTTGTGGTTTGTAAGAGCATGCGTAGTGTGGGATTGGGAGCAAAATTGGCTTTTCAACGCCTTGGCACCAGTACTCCGCCAAGGCACATTTCCTCTGCACGTCTGGCAGGCATGAACACGCTCCTGTTCTCATATGGGGGCTTTGACCACAAAAACCCGTGGAGCACTCAGAAATTGCATCTGCTGGCCCTTCCGCATGCATGCACAAGTGACCGGTGTTTCGAGGTCAGCACCGACTTCAGATCTGCAGGCGTGGAGAATTGCGAGACTCTGTGAGACCCGTCCTTCGTCTTCCCAAAAGCTGCGGTGGCTGCAGGTGATGGACATTGAAACAGCTATTGCGGCATCCCAAAGTGGTGTTGTCGCAAAAGGTGAGGAGGCTCCTCGTTCTGACTGCAAGGAATCATTCGAGGCTGTAATTCTCATGGCTGATCGCAGGCGGAGACCACGGACGCTAGCTTTGAGGCAGCTCCAAAACCCTGGCCATAGATGGTACTGTAGGGTGCTTCAGAAGACTTTTGATTATCCCCAACCGCCCGCCCCAACCGCCCGCCCCAACCACAGTATCAAGAACAAAATGCGTCTACCCAAAAGGGTACTGTACCCATCATGCTGCGGATCGGAGATGCCTGGAAACGGTGCAGGCTTCAGCAGCACCAGCTGGCACGCTGGACCTTGCGCCGCCGACCTATCCAGGCAGAGTCGGGTCGCCTGCTGGTAAACGGCCAGGGTCTAGGATGATCTTTAGTTCTCACGTGCTGCCAAACAGGGTCCGCAAGCAGCCATGCCACCAGCACGTGCAAAAAACATGGACCTGCACGCGCGGGTACTTCTAGACATCGGGTGCCAGTCACGTATCCCAGAGTATTGCAACCACATTGAGGACACTCAAGCCACCTGCCTTTGCAAAGTGCTTGAAGTTGCCAGGCTCCAATACAAAGCCGCGCGAGACGCGGCCAGCCCCAACCTCGAGTTGTGAACCGAAAACATCTTGTCGGTTCTACGGACCGCCCCCTCGGAAAATTTGCCCTTGATTAAGTTGATTATGGAGCTGTAATTTAGTTGCCTCCAGGGGCTTTAGGAGGGGGATCCGGAATTCGTGAGATTCACAATTCTTCGTAGTTCTTCGGAAGGATTGAGGAATGGGTCTTTGAGGGACAATGATACAAAGTAAAGGGATTTTGTTCGGAACACTGTCGGATACTGTAGGGATCCATTCTCCATCCCGCATGTATCAGCTAGAGTCTAACGCTAGTTCCAAAGAGGGCGGGTAAAAAGCGATGCAGTTCACACAGCCCAGGGAACCTCGGATGGGACGCGCCCTGCAACGCCGCCCCGAAGCCGTCCCAGCCCTTGAGTGGAGGGCCGTGCAGTTTGGGGGCTCGGGCAACTCTCTTGCGGCCTGTGGCGCAACAAGGCGCTTTAGCAACGGCCCCGGCAAGCCGCGGCGCCGGCAGCCTAAACACCGGGGCGCCAAATTTTGAAGATTCGCAAAACAACTGACATGCTTCTGAATTATTGGACATGCCCAGGACACCGGCAAACACTCTATTTCGTTCACGGTCTTTGAGAGCTCAGGTGGACCTGACCCCTGGCGACGTCAAAGTGTCACCGCAGGCTGAATGGTGTTTGGTACAACTCTGCAGCTCTCTTCGCGACAGTCATGCAGTGCCAGGTGTACGTCAGCCATGAGAAGGATTTCACACATTTGGTTGAAAAGGCGATGTGAGCTTGGAATGGCTGCGTGACCTGTTCTGTGGACTTCCCTTGATCTCTTGGTAGGTTAATATCGAGTCCCTTGCAGAAGAAGGCAGGCTACCTAGACGGAAAAGAAAGGTTGCTTGAAAGAAGCAGAACCTTGGCCAAGTCTGTTTGATAGTGCAATAGTGCCAAGGCTTACCTAAGACCGAGGTCTGAACCCCATGCCACAATCAACGCAGAGTCGTTCGTTGTAAAGTGGATTGAAATATTGGTGCCATCATCCTTCTTTATTCCCCAGGGCAAAGGTTTCCTCCCCTTCTGCAGAAGGTCAGGACATGCATGCTGCTACTACTCGGCAGCAAGTGTGTATTGCCAGCTAAGGGCATGATGTCGCAGGAGCGGCGTGTAGTTTAACGCGCAAATGCCCCCATTTAAGAACATACTCACGTGTGCCGGTATGCGAGCAGTCCTGGCACGGCCTTGTGCAATTGCCTGTGCTTGAACAGCGCAGCCAATCATCAGGTCGAAAGATCCACTCCTCCAACGTGATGGCGAACATCGCCAGGAATGCTGCAGCCGTTGCATGTTTGTCATCGTACCCCGGCCCTAGAAAGGCTCTAGCTGCCAGCTTGCTTCAGAGTGCTGAATGCCAGGGAGAAGAGGGAATCCACACCCAGTGCATTAATGCATTGTTGCAGTCCTTGGCTTATGGCTTGCTGAATTCCTGGCCTTGATGCAGCAAGGCGTTGTGCCTCCACGGTTCTTAGGCCAACAACATGGCAGCCGGATCAGAACCCAAACAGCTTCCTGTTGAGCGCCGCAGAGGTTGGTCATTTTGTCTTCTGCACGTTTCAAGCACCGCTGGTTGCAGGTAAGTCGGTTATGCGACCTAACCTTAGAGGCCGCAGCCCCTTCTGCGAACCACAAGCCTTTGGCGCATCCAAACATGCACGAGGTGCTGAAGTCCCAGGAAATGGTTCTACGATTGCGGGCTCCCATCAAGGCCAGAATCCAAAGTTTTCAGCCCGCCAGTGATCATGAAAGCCTAGCCGGTACTGGCCAGGTCTATGGCGACATCCATGGGCAATACTTAGACCTCATGCGGCTGTTTGCTAGGCCAGAGTCCTTTTTGCAACTCAGGGGCTTGGGAGACCTTGTTTTGGAAGGTATAAGGCGCCCTGGGATGGTGAGAATGGTGACATTGCCTGTCCCCCACGTGCTGGGACTAAGCTGGCCCAAATCTTTTGGCACGCCTTAAGGACTCAATGGATTACCTCTTCCTCGGTGATTTCGTGGCCGGCTCCTCGGAAATGTCTGAAGGGAACCAATAATGGAAAAGGACATGCTTGTCCATTTGATTTTCTCAGCCTGCCTCGCGGCCGATGACTTGCTGACAGGACCGTGGGGCCTTCTCGCTGGAGACCGTTTGTCTTCTCTTCTCGCTGAAGGTCCCATGTTGTTGGGGCAGGCGGAGGGCGGCTCGACATTCATCTGAGCTTTGCAGGTGAAGTATCCCAACCAGATACATCTGATCCGGGGAAATCATGAGGTGCGGCGGGTAGCTGAATGGACCGCAGTTTCCAGAGCTTGTGAGTGTCCTCACTCTGCACTACGACACTACGAGGACCCAACGATCAATGCTATCTACGGCTTCCGAGACGAGTGCCGGCGCCGTCTAAACGAGGACATTCTTTGACCAGAATGCCCCGTGTTGCCTATAATTACTATAGACTCAAAATTGACCCCAGTTTCCGGTTCATTTTCTAATTGCCCATTTGCATCTCAAGGAGCCTGAGGATCCGGAGTCCTGCTGGAACAAATTCAACAGAGCGCGCCCGGCAAGTTTGATTGGCTGAGCCGGACCAAAGCTGCGTTTAGTGTGTGTGGCGGAGGCTTTTGAATGGCTTCCGGTTGGCGCCGTGATTGAAGAGCGGATACTTTGCCTTCATGGAGGTGGAACACATGATGATGATGATGATGATGATGATGATGTGAAAAGATTAATTACCTGATGTTTGGATTGTATTTGGCGCAGGCATCGGAGGCTCCGTGAACAATATAGCAGAAGTTCGCACTATGCAGAGGCAGTCTCCAACTTGGAAAAAGGTTTCCAGAAACGATGCCGAGTGCGTGAGGCCGCTGCATGTGGCCCAGATCCCTCAGACACCCTTCGAGCAACGGATCACTGACTTGCTGCGCAGCCCTCAGCCCGAACTGGACGATGAAAAATCCAGTGAAAACAATACATCCACTGGGTAAACCGGGTAAGCGCATGGCGTCGTCCAGGTGGAGCGACCCCTCCGACAATGATTCCGTGTGCAGCCAAGTTTGGCCAAGCTCTTTGCAAGCTGTTTGGAAGCTCTTTGCATGCACTTGCTTCGTCCCCATGCGCCGACAGATCCCGGGAGTGTCTCTCAATGAGACTCGCGACCCTGATGGAACTGGTCGCATCGTGAAGTTTGGTCCAGACAGAGTAGAGGCGTGACGAACCTGAGGCAGGCAAGTAAGTCACAGGGACACTGAGCAGCCACATCAGGAGTTTCTGGAAAAGAACAAGCCCCTTTCGATGATTATCCGCGCACACGAGTGCGTCATGGCTGCGGCCCCAGCGCTCCCGCAAACGGCTCAGGCTACAGTTTCGAAGTCTCCGGCAAAGCTTATTCCCGGTTGCATATCGCTGTTGGCAGTGCTCCTGACTGATTTAAACCGGCCCGGCATAGCCACTTCAATACACTTTACTTTCTCCATTTCCTACGACTGCGCCCCCAGCACCGCCGCCGCCGCCACCACCACTGTCCCCGCCACTGCCCAAGCCACTGCCCAAGCCACTGCCCACGCCGCTGCCCACGCCACTGCCCCCACCCCATCACCGCCACCGCCGACGCCAGTACCATCACCGCTGCTACTGGTAGTGGCCATTTTGAAGCCGACTGGATCACTTTGGTTGCTTGCTTTCTAGCAGCAGGAAAGCAACATCAGAGAATCTTTGCCCCGGCCACGAAGATACGAAATCCTAATATTAGCACCAGGACCAGAAAGACTCAGTAGCAGCATTCGCGCCACAATCAGTACACTTACAAAGGCAACTGCAGCTGCTAATGCTGCTCTCAGGACGGCTTTGAGCGCTTTGCGAACGGCCGCCTGATCACCGTGTTTAGCGCGACGGCCGGGCCCGGAGTTCATGCAGGGCTGTGCCGAAATATTCTGAGAATTGCTTTGGAGGCTCAGGTAGATTCAGGGATAAATGAGGGAGCTGCTTTTGCACGTGTTTGTGTAGGAACGTGAGCAATCACTTTGCCTACACAACTCGTCCCGTGGAATCAGGATTACTGCGGGCACCACAAGAATGCGGGCGCGCTCCTTTTTGTGCGGCGCGATCTCACCATTGTGCCAAAGCAAGAGCCTCAAGTACAGAGACAGGGGTGCTGTAGACTTTAGGCCCTAGCCTAGGCCTTGGTCCATTGGTAGAACTTCGAAGAAAACAGTTTGCATTCGTATCAAAACATGCATGACCCCTTCTGCTATTCATGTGCATATTAGCCAAAGGCGTTGTGACAGTACTATTTCTGATGGTGACGTATTGAATGTCTTCAGAACGGGTTGACATTCTCAAGGAACATCGACCATGTTCCAGAGGTTGCAGGTACATGTCAGGAGCAACAAGTATGCTCATTCCTGTGAACATCACTTATCTTGCTTCTGATCCAAGCTGCTTTGGTCACTTCCCAGGTTGATATATCCCGTTGAGCGCACCACGACAATGTGGGATCCAATGGTCATGCAGCAGAGACCTCCCACGCCTCCACGACCAGTCGGCTGCTAAGTTTTCCAGCTGATGGGTATGAGGAGCAGTGATTGTGAGTTGCTGCTTGGAGCTGAGGGATCTTTCTTTGGAAGCCCACAAAAATTGTGTTTCTTTTCTCCGGTGCTGCAGCACTGCCCTCCGCCCTCAGGTGCCAAGGGCAAGGAAACTTGGCGAGGATGAGCCGCATCTTGCATGCTTTACTGGGGCCTGCTTGATGAGAGGTTTTGATAGGGGCTTGAGGTATACCCGCGCGTGCATGAGTTCTTCAATTCGTTTAGGGAGATCCCTTCACATGACGCTGCTTCGGCATCCAACGACTTGGCGTTGCAACTCCTCGTTCGCAGCCCCTGAAGGACTTTCGTTGTTTCCGCACCAACTGTGACATGAATTCGGCCCGTCCATGAAAGAACCCATGCCAGCAGCACTCATTGATTCTCGAGCGTGAATGAACAAGAACAGCCATGTTCGACACCCCTTGATTCAAGCGTCTTCCTTTTGGCATAAACAATGTTCGACAGAAAGAAGCACTACATGATAATCGTCACGAATGAATGAGAACGGCCATGTTCGACACTCCATGGTTGGAGCTCAGCCTAAACACGAGGAATAGAGGTTGGCACTATCCGACTCTGCGAATCCTTTGCCAGGCCTGGCATAGACTGGTGAGGCTCAGAGGCTCGGCTTGTTCCTTTTCCCCGTAAAATAGGTCGTCTTCAAGGAAGACGTGCGGAAAGCACACGTAGCTTTAATGAATCAGAGCACGGATGTCTCAGACATTTGCTTCAAGTTGCAGACCGTTTGTGGAGACCATACCTGTGACACCAAGAGGCTGAAGGATTGCTGGGACATTTGTTTGCTTGACCCGGTCTCACCAGAAGCCAGAAGAAGCCAGAGGGGCTTCTTGCTGGGCGGGCTCCACCCGAAGCCTGCCCAGCGTTGTCATCGCGCTCTTAAAAATCAGTGAAGCCCCAACTTCGAAAGATGGATATTGGTCAGTCGGGAGAGATTTCAGATCTTGGTGCAGCAACGTGGCTCTGTCGAAAGAGGCAACATATAGATTAGACGAATGCTGAAGTCAAATGGATCCTATGGCTACACTCCGGTGGGGAGGACGGCCGCGCAGAAAGCGGTCATGGATGCCCACAAGCAGTCGATGTTTGTCCTTGGTATCGGGCTGCTCTTGATTTTTATTGTGTTGATTCTAGCTTTCAGTTATACCTGGTACTCAACGAGAGTACCCCTGTCTTGCACGACGCCCTTGTCGCTGTATTTCTGGCTGGCGGGCATCTCAAACTTCTTCTTGGCGGTCCTGCTGGTGATCGGCATGTACCTGATGCAGGGGATGATGTCTCTTGGCCTCAACTTGGCAGATATAGTCTGATATACTGGGTGATGTAGCGATGCACGTAGCCTTTCCGATCCACACGCTGGCCTCGACCCAGAGGCTTGCGGTCAGCCACCAGCATCTGGCCCAGAGCATGGAAGAGCACGCCCAGGCCGGCTGGGAAAGTCTCCAGGAAGTCAACAACGAAAAATGGTTCATTTGGGAAGACCAAGCTGTGTAGGTGAGAGTACGCTAGTTTGTGGCCTGCATTCTGCCACTGCAGACGTACTCAATCGCGGGGGGCCACCACTCCGTGTCCGCAGCTGCGCATCGATCCGAGTTCCAGGAAAGTGCGCTCCACTATGGCGGAGGAATGACAGCAGTTGCTCGGCGGCCATATCTTTTGAGTTTAGGGAAGATCTAGGCCTGGTTTGGACAGAGCATTTGTGCAGCAACCAGGTCCTGGTGCTCCAGTCCGTGGTGATGCTAGCACAAATGGGTCTAAGTATCTACGGTATCGTAGAGGTCGTCAAAACGCAGCAAGCAGACAACTCCTACCTGTGCGGCGAGTCCATTAACGTGTTTTGGACTTTGCTCGGGCTACACTTCATTCAGAACTCGTGCGTGGTTGGTAAGCTCAGCAAAGGCGCGGCATCCAGTACTGCATGTTTCATGTTTGCCTTGGCAGCATGTGCCATGGGGAGGCCTGCAACACCATCCCCGAGGAGTCGAGGAAGATTTAGGAGACAGCGACTGACTTTGGGCCATGGTTTCACGGAGGCCAGGCAAGGCATAGCTTGCCCGCACCCCATGTGCCAAAGTGGCCTCACAGGCTCTGGGCCTGAGAAACAGAGCCCCAGGACCTGCTATGATATTGTAAATGGTTCCTGCCCTGGAACGCGGCGCTTAGATCTTTAGTGGCTAGCTTTTGGGTGTCCTCACCTACGAACGCAAGCACAGCGTACTTCAGCAAGCAAAGAAGCTTGCGGAAGCAAAAAGTCAATCTAGGACGGTCTTGGGCCCTTTGCGTAGATCGAGTTGGAGGGGTTTGCATAGAACTGCAGACGTGCGAATTCTTACAGGCTCAAGCTCGAGCGTTGGCCAGCATTAGCTCATCATAGCTCAATCATCCGAGCCATGAACGATCTCTAGGCTGGAAAAAAACATCTGCAGAACAGAGCCAGCTGATGCAGTTGAAACGGAAACAAGCAAGTAACGGTAGCACGGCATAGCGTAAATGGATTCCGCGCCTGGGAATCTCCTCTTCGAGCCGACACCCGAGGCTCTGGCGGAAGTGAAAGAAGTCCTGGCAGAGGCTCTACCCAGCTTGGTTGCAGCTGTGATTAGCAGTTTTGCTGTTCTCTGAGCAACATGTCTACCTACTGAGAGCCCAACTTTGAATGCAGATACGGCTGGGAAAATGGCTGGAGCCTGGAGAAGGCGAGCGACGCTAGGCTATCAGTGCCGTGTGGGAATGTGAATGAGTTTGAATTTCTGCATACCTCTCTTCTGTAGGCAGGGCTTTCCCACCTCAAGTTGCAACAACATCATTATCACCACTGCACATGATGGCAGTACATAATCTGGAATATGTAGCCTACAAAGCTTACAACGATATCACGAGAAAAAAACACGGCAATGCCGTTACTTAGCAGCCGTGAGAATCTGAAACACGCAGGTAGTTGTCAAATGTCCCAGCCCTCTGAATTAGGATGATCCATCTTGCAAGGGCCTGGCAATCTGGAAAACATGCACACCAAGTTGATCTGAGGAAGAAAACCCGCCGAGCTGCTGCCACTGGTTATCTATTCGGATTTCGAGGCTGCCAGCACGGACTCCAAAACTAGACCCCAGGAGAATCAGGTGGACATCTTAAGGACGCTACATGAGCCATAGTCTAAACTCCTCAAGGGGGATTATAAAGGAGACTACTCTAGGGGTTAAAGGGGGAAACCAGGAGTTCAGACTATAGCTCACATGTTCTCCCACCGTAAGGTGGATGATCTCATGGCAATAGCTCAACTGTGGCAGTGGAACCTGGAGCGACGAGATCTCAAAGGCTCCCGGGCCAGGCCAGTTACTACTATTATCATTACTATTGTTAGTATAATAATTGCGATTATTACGATTTCTTCTACTACTACTACTGCTACTACTACTACTACTACTATTACTACTATTACTATTATTACTACTACTACCACGACGACGACGACTACTACTACTACTAGTACTACTACTAGTACTACTACTAGTACTAGTACTAGTTTAGTACTAATACTAGTAGTAGTAGTAGTAGTAGTACTACTACTACT